ACTATAATAGAAGCTTCTAGGTGAAGATGGAATTTAAGGGATAGATAGAAGAATGCTCCAAACATATTTTAGAAAACCCTAATCTCATAATTGAACCACAAAAGAGCCTCTCATCACTGCTTCAAACCTTTCAAGAGATCCTCAATAGAAATCTTGATGAAACGCTAAGCACCACAAGTGAAGACCCTGATGCTCTTTTCTCTTAATAATGAAGACAGAAATCCATAATAGCTCTGAATGAAAACCATAGTTCTACACTTCAATTCTTGAGTAAGAACCAGACTATTCAATTTTATTCAACATATACACCTCAAACCAACAGAAACCTTGCTTGCATGATCACTAAACTTTGAACCTCAAATGCCTTATTGAATGTAAATGTATGCCATGTTAGTGACCTAATGGAATATATGCAGATGAATACAAAAGCCTAAGCCAGATAAAATAAATTAGGAGGGAAAATTTTGGGGTGCAACACTAGTTAATTTAGTTAATTAAATAAATTGACAACCTAAACCATTTTCTAATTTAAAACTATTTATCAACATCAATTTCATTTTCAAAATAAAAAACCAATACCTTTAGTAAATAAAATCAATTGACAATTGAAAGACAATTTCAAATCACTTTCAAAGTGAATGCAAATTAAAAACTTGCTCAACACCAAGTTTTTTGCTCACAATCAAACCCATTTTCACCATAAAACTGGATGAAAATGGCTAGTTGGGTGTAATACCCATCCTAGTTCACAAATACTTAGATGCTGGTTATAATAGCCTACCGTCTGAGTATTCGACTTCTTTTCAAACATAATAATTAATCAAGTTTAGATCACTCCTCATTGGATGAAAAGGGTTAGTTGGTCGTAATACTCATCCCAATCTTTTAGTATTTGGGTGTTATTCATATTAGTTTACCATTCGAATGTTTGGTTTTTGTTATGGAATTATGGCTTAATTCGTCTCACAAGTTTCATAAATAACTTGGACGAAAAGGGTTAGTTGGGCATAATACCCATCTTAATCTACGATTATTTAGGTTCTAGCCATAATATCTTACCATTCGAATGCTTGGCCTCTGCTTAAAACCAATATCAACCAATCATTCTTCTTTTTCCGCCTTAGCGTGACTCCAAAGCTTTTCACAAAGAACATGTTTGTCCATTCTATCGCAATACAAACAAACGCTTTAGCTTCACATGCCAGAGAAAACAAGCAATGTTTAACTGCTATAATATGATCCAAGCATATCCATTATATCACAATACAAACAAATGCTTAAGTCTCTCATGTGCGAGCAAACAAGCAACGTTTAACTGCTAGAATGCGACTAAGCATCATTCATAAAAATCAACCAACACATACATAGTTTTCTACTAATAACTATGGAGTCTCGAGTTCCTCATCGCACCAGAGAATACGTAAGAGCGAGATCTAACGTCTCTTCAGAAAAAATAATAAAAAACCCTTTATTCCTTTCTTTTTATTAATAATTAGAAGATCAGGAATAAAATCACGTTTCACTCTTTCGCAAAACTAACTAAATGGATCCCATTGAGTACAACGAATGTGAGAGGCGCTAATACCTTCCTCTTGTATAACCGACTCTCGAACTCGATTTTGGTTGCGACGACCATATTTTTGTTCATTGAGGGTTTTATCGATATTTTCTCTTTTCTTTTGGAATAAATAAATTTTGATGACAACTCTATTGTATTTCGAGCATTCTTTACACTTGGGTATTTTTTGTTTCGTGACATTATCCATTGTTGAAGCTGAGTATATTGTTGCTGGAAGCAGTTGCACTAAATTTCTATGGATGAAACAAATGCTAAAGGAATACAATATTGAACAAGATGTCATGACATTGTTCTGTAACAACATGAGTGCCATAAATATCTTAAAGAATCTTGTCCAACACAGTAGAACCAATCATATTGAAATTCATCATCACTTTGTTAGAGATCATGTGGAGGATAAATTGGTCAATTTAGAGAAAATTGCAAATGACCAACAACTTGATGACATATTCACCAAACCATTGATGTTGTTCCTTTTAAAAAATGAGAAGTGCACTTGGTGTGTGCATATGTGAAAGTATATAGCAATCAATGTTAGGGAAAGGTGCAGAGAGACCAAGCCAAATCCTCTCTCCTATTCTGTATGGTGAACGTATACTAAGGGTGATTTATTATTTCACTCCTCTCACCTGGAAAAGAGTTACAAACTAGACAAAAGTTCCCATACTCTCATCTGTTTATAAGAAAGTCATTCTTCCTTCCTTCTTTCAAGTGTGTGCTAGCAAACATGAGTCAGAACTAGGAGAATTCCAAGAAGACTTCCTCTAGTAAGGGAATCAATATTGACAAAGCTATTGAGAGGTTTCTTGAAGCTGAGAAGAAGAAGAACAAGGTAGATGGTTCCTCTTATCTTTCAACTACTGAAGGACCACATGGTGGCCCATCGACTAGAGAAAGTGTACTGGGGAAGACTTCAATTACGAAGATGAAGACTATTTAAAAGACTCATGTGGAAGATAGATACTCAGAGACAAATGATGATTGGGTCACTTCCATGGACTAAGGACCAAATTAGAGGAGATTTATCTCTGAAAGGTTTTCCATTTTACCTGTCTTGCTATGATTTTGGGCCTTTGTCCTATGGACCTTGTGGGCGACTCAAAACAACAGCCTCCCCAAACCCTTGTTACCTGCTATGTAGGACAAAGGCTTGTAACGTAAGCCTTTGTCCGACCACCGAATCTGGAGATGTGAAGACCTTTGATGGGGCATCATTACCCTTTGGAATAGATGCATTAAACTCCTGTTTGAAATAGGTAAAGTTTTGTTGGGAATTGTTGACACGTTAGTGATGATGCTTCCTCTTCCTTATTGTATTGAAAGTATGGCACAATGAATTTTTCCCTTACTATTCCTTCGCACTCCGGGCTCTCTTGGATGAAGGGGGTTTTCCCGGGGATTCTTTCTGTGGAGATCCTCTTCTTTCTATGCCTTAGCCACTTTCATGTACATCTTTTTGTAGGCGGTCTCTATGGATCAACTTCTTAATCTTATGCTTCAACTGGTGACAATCATCGGTATGGTGACCCTGCACTATGTAATACTTGCTCCATTTGTCAGTGTCTATTCTCATCACGTTTCCCTTGGGCGAGTTTTGCTCAGGAAAGAGTTTCGCATGACACACTTCTTGAAAAATTTGTTTACGCCTTGTATTCAACGGGATGAAATACTCACATGGTTTTTGATTGGCTTGAATGCTGCTTTTTTTCATACATGCACTAGATTCTAGTATTTTTTATCGTTAGATTCTGATTTTGATATCCATTTCTCCTTCGCATTTGTTGTTCTTTTTTCAGTGTCACTCTCTTCACTTTTAATGTGGCATTTTGCATGCGCCATGGTCTCATCTATCAACGGTGTCAGCTTCTAGACAAGGGCTCTTTGAAATTTCCCGCATCGAGGAAGTTCTGGAAGGCTCCTACCGACATCTATTGATTATAATGAGTTGCTTTTATGGTTTCTTATTTTAAGGCAATGGTATTCTCGCAGTGCCATGGTTTTCCCTTGGCAGACATTGAAGAGACTCGTGGTTGACACATTTTTATGCTTGCTAGCAGAAAAATGATGTATCATTTTCCTAAACAAGTCCTAATAAATAGACATGGAGAACCTCGCAAGATTCATGTACCAACGTAATGCGACGTTCTTTAGCGTGCCCGCCCTCAAATTGTAGTTTAACGAATCAGTGACACCAATGATGGCCATCTGAGTGTTGATCATTATGATATGCTCATGAGGGTCACTTTTTCCATCAAAGGTTGCTAATGGAGGTAAATTGAAGTTATCTGGGTCTTGATCATCCAAAATCTCTACCGTTAGAGGTTTTGGGGTTGATCGGATCCTTTATTTCTTCACCTTCAGGTCGGGGTTGATGTTGATTTTGTTGTAAAACGAATAAGGTGTCCTGCAACATTTTGTTCTGACGATGCATATCTTCCACGGTGGCAAGTAGGTCCTCCGCTGCAGCCTGAGGCCCCTGATTACTATTTTTTTGTTGCTTTCATCTTGAAGGGAGGGTGAGATCGACAACTCGAAGAGTTTTGTGTGGCCAAATGATTCTTACCAGAGTCTAAAGGTGGATGTAAACTGTTCATGCAAGAACACTGAGCGGTAACCCCTATGATGCATGTCAGAAAGAGTTATAGCGAGGAACTACTCTATAAGAAATTGAATCTGCCTTTTACGGTTGTTGTACCTCTCCTTTATACTAACTCTCAACTGCTTGATCCAATGCAAAGACTTTGAATGTCGTTATTCAGTTTATTGGAGATTCATGATAATTGATTCATCACTTATTGCGTATGTCAGACACATTTACATGCGTTAATGTCATATGATAATGATTCATAAATGCTTGTTTGCTAATATCTTGCCTGAAGTGGTTTTTGTCACGTCTAATTCCCAGAAAATGGGTTGTACTAACTTTGGCCCACCTTAATTTTTTGGGATGTACGGATATTTAATTTGTCACCCCAAAAATTGAACCTAGCACCCTCAATATTTTTATAATGACAAAAATGTCTAAGAACAAATTTGAAGATGGCAAGAACAAAATTTCTGATAGTTCATTTCTAAATTTCCAATATGTATTTAAAAAAAATTACACTACCGAAAATTTTAAAATTTCTGATAAATTTTGAAAAGTGTTGTAATTTGTCAGAAATTTCAAAATTTTTAATATTATAAAAAAAAAATTGAAAATAAACTATCGGATTTTTCAAAATATCTAATAATTTTTTACAAAATTTTTGGAAAATTACGATTTTTTTTTTGAAATTTTCAATAAACATGAAAATAAATTTCAAAATTTTTTATAACATAAAAATAATAGCGGTGATTATTAAGGGTGACAAGTTAAATCTTCGGGACTTACATCAGAATGTACATGTTTACTATAAGTCAAATAGACCAAATAGTTTATTCATAGTAAAAATCTTATCTTTTTAAGAACTCCAAGAACTCCAAGAACATCAACCCGAGCAAGTTCTTCACTGTCCGGCACATGCAATGCGATATATGATAGCAGAACCAAGGCTGAATATTGAACCGGCGGTTCCCCAAGATACGCAAGCTGAACCAAGTGTTTTGCACCACCGGAGCTTATGATTGCCTTAGAGTGATCAAGGTGGAGGTAGTTGTCATTGCAGGCAAATTTCGTGAGTGAGTCTGCAGCTTCTTTGGATACTTCAGCCTCTCTTTCGTCTAGAAGTCGAACCAACAGACCAATTATCCTCCTTGTTTCAGTTTTCGCAAATGTCCTTGCCAAACTTCCAATAACTTTAATGCAAGGAATCAGAAGCCTCTTATCTTCTTTGTCGATAATATCGATCACTTGATCAACAACTGCTTTACAGGCAGGAGAATTCGGCTTAAATGCCATTCTTAATTCAGGATCTTTCTCAATCACTGCAGTAATCTCTTTCAATGCCAAGGAAGAATTGTATTTCACTTCTTCAGATCCTTTTTGAAGGAGAATAGCTAAGAATAACAAAGCACTTGATTCTATTAAGCTACAACAAATCGCAGAGTTATCCTTTGCTAATAACGTTAGAGCTTTCACTGCCATTGCTTTCATGTCAGCCTTACTCTCGGCATCTTCAAGTTCCCTTCCATTCATGTTAATTCCCGAACACGAAGAAGAACTTGGCTCGGTATTACAGTTCCCAATCTCACTTGAATGACTGCGCTCCTGAACAGTTTCAAATGCAATATGACTAACAAGCAACCTAACAATATCATGCTCAACAAAAATATCTTGACATTTAGGATACTTAGACACAAGTTGAGAAACAGCCCAAGCTACAACAGCTTGAACTTTCATAGGACCTCGTTTGAGAATCTTAGCAAAAACAAAAAAGACACCAGCATTAATCATAACATCAATGCTTTCTGCATCTCGACCTAAAAGCCCAATAGCTTCAACAGCGTATACTTGACTTTCTATTTTACCTTCTTTAATAAGTTTCAACAAAGGACCAACACCACCTTCTTCAATTATCAATTTTCCAAAAAGTTCGTTATCACGTGCAAGAGTAACCAAAGCAGCAGCAGCATCAGATCGATCATCGACAGATCCGTTATAAAGAATCGCAATCTGTTCCCAAATTAGACATAAAATCGGATCATTAGACGCATTAGGTGGAAGACCTAGATACTCGTAGCTCCCTTCCTCTGCCGGAGCGGAGAGACGGAGTAGCCACGAAACATCGCCGATTGAATTTTCAAGACGAGAAGACATTTCGCGGAAAGCGGCGGAGGGGACTATGCTGAAGATACGCTTCATGAGACCGTTGACTTTGCATTTGAGGACTAACGTTAGTGTTTTTTTGAGGACTTGTTCGGTGTCTCCGATGATACGACGTGCTGGTGGTTCGGGTAAATCGGAGCTTGATGTTGCTGCTTGTCGGAGAAGTGAAGCGAGTTTTTCGGTTTTGGATTTGAGTTCTAAGCATTCTTGTTTGAAGGATGAACTTCCTTCTTCAGCTGCTTTGCTTACTTGGTCAGCTAATTGGATCTGTTTTGTTAACCGTTGTTTTACTAAATCTGCCGTTGTTGTGCTCTTTTTTGAAAACCCCATTGTTGTGCAAATTTGTTAATATTGTGTGGTATGTTTCTTTTGTGTGATTGAAAAATGAAGGAGATGGGTTGGGCAGAGGCAAGTATTGTGTGTGAATTATCGGAAGATTTCACGGGTCAAGTGTCGGTAAGGGATATGCTGCCCTTCAATTTAACTTTACAATTTTTATCTATTATAATGAACATAATTTTAAATAACTCTCTTAAATTTATGGTGGAATGTAATATAAGAATAAATACGGAAGTATAATTAAGTCTCTTAAATTTATTTAAGAATGTAATTATGAGAATGAGAACGAAAGTATAATTGAGTTTTTCATTGAGAATCACTAAATATTTGTAGATATATGATCTTTTTAATTTGTAGGATTTCTTATGGTTTCTTGAATCTCTTCTGACGGAGATAAAGAGAGGACTTTCTGATGAGCCGTTTTTATGTTGTCTACAAATAGAGATCATAACCGCTATAAATAACCTTAAGATTATTTCTTAATTTTTAATATTTTAATTTGACCCCTCATCAAATTAGATATTGACTTAAGGTATCTACACAATAATATTATATTTCATGATATTTATACTTTCAACCACAAACATATTATTAATTACACCACTACAGCTTTGGCTAATTACGTAATGACCCTAACATATATAATATTACATTTGTGATCCCAAAATTCTAACAATCTCCCACTGGTCACATATGTAATCATACACATGTGTCAGACTTTATGAGCTCAAAATTTACCATTATATTCCTTAAGCATATGCAAATTATCTCGTCCATTAGTCATGCCAATATATAGAATCAAGATGATTTTCGTTATATCAATCATAACTAAACCTATCAATGATCACCAATAATGACACAACTAAATGACATAGACCCATCATGAAATGTCCAACATGAAAATTACATGAAGTTGGCCAATATATGTCGATTTTCAACTGGTGCTATTTTACTTTAGTGAGATCATTCAATAACTTTATTGTACAAAAGGTAAACTACTTAATATCAAACTTTATTAATTTGGAAAATATACAAAAACATGGTACGCATACATAACCAAAATCTAGAACATAAAATTCATAATTAACTAACTCGCACTAAACCAAAGATGCCTCTAACGGTAAAACACTCATGCGAGCAGTGTGCTCATGAAAGACCTTGAGTGGAAGACCTTTTGTAAGAGGATCTGCTATCATGGAGTTTGTCCCCAAGTGTTCTATAGAAATCTACCCACTTTTTACTATTTCCTTAACAACTAGAAATTTGATGTCAATATGTTTTGACTTGGTCGAACTCTTATTATTGTTGGAGTATAGGATGGCTAATTTATTGTCAAAGTATAAATCAAGCGGTCTTTCAATTCTTTCCATAATTCATAGCCCAGTGACAAGATTCCTCAGCCAAATCCCATGGTTGGATACCTCATGACATATTATAAACTTTGCTGCCATGATGGATGAAACAATAAAAGTTTGCTTGGCACTGCGCCAAGAAGCTGCACCACCAGCCAACATGTATATATAGTCTGAAATAGATCTTTTGCTATCTTGGCATCCAACAAAATCAGAGTCAGAGTATCAAGTGATCTCTAACTAGTCTGACCTCTTATATGTGAGCATATAGTCTTTTGTTCTCTTTAAATACCTCATAACCTTTTTGGCTGCTTTTCAGTGATCTATTCTTAGATTGCTCAAATATTTGCCTAACATCCCAACTGTGAGCGCAATATTCGGACGCGTACATACTTTGGCATACACCAGATTCCCTACTGCTGACACATAAGGAATCTTTTGCATTTCTTGAATTTCTAAGTTTTCTTTTGGACACTGATTAAGACAAAATTTGTCTTCCTTAGCAATTGGAGTGTCCCTTGGTTTACATTTCTGCATGCCAAACCTTTTAAGTACTTTTTCAATTAGCTCCTTTGTGATAATCCTAGAAGACCCCGAGACTAGTCTCGGTGTATCCAAATTCCTAATATAAAGGAGGCGTCACCAAGATCTTCCATTTCGAACTTTCTTGACAGAAATTTCTTAGTTTCGTGCATCATGCCTATATCATTAGCGGCAAGTAGTATGTCATTGACATATAAGACAAGTAAAATGTACTTGCTCCCACTGAATTTGTGATACACACACAATCTTAAGCAACATTCACCTAAAAACCAAATGAGAGAATTACTTCATGAAACTTGTAGTACCACTAATGAGATGATTGCTTTAGTCGATAAATGGATTTTGTCAATTTACAAACCATATTTTTTTAGTCTACTGACACAAAGTTTTATGGTTGCACCATATAGATCATTTCATCAACGTTGCCATTGAGGAATGTCATCTTGACATTCATTTGATAGAGTCCCAAATCATAATGTTCAACAAGAGTCATGATTGTCCTAAAAGATTCTTTTGATGAAACTGGAGATAAAGTCTTTTTAAAGTCAATCCCTTCATTTTGGGTATAACCTTTTGTCACAAGACAAGCTTTATACCTCTCCACATTATCGTTAGAATCCTGCTTGGTCTTAAAAATCCATTTGCAACCAACGGGTTTCACACCTTCTAGTAATGGGACAAGTTCCCAAACTTTATTGTCTTGCATGGACTTATACTCCTCCTTCATTGCTTCAACCACTTTTCTAAGTTAGAATCCTGTATGGCTTGACAAAAGTTGATTGGATCATCTTCCATCATACCATTATTTTCCTCATGTTTTTGGAGAAAGACTATGTAGTCATTCGGAATAGCATTTCTCCTTTCTCTAGTGGATCTCCGTGTTGTAACTGGTTTTGAAATGAGAGTCGCCACCATTAATTTTTATCCTAGGGAAAGGAATATAATGGATAACCATAATTTGGTCAGAGATTGTAAGTTGTTTACTCTTTTTTAGACGAAGGGAATGTGTTAGGCAACCCTCATCTACCTTATTCACAAGGATACTAGGGTTCAAAATTACGGCTTAGGAAATAGAGTTTTAATTTTTATTAGGGGAACTCTCCATGATTTTTAGTCGTATGCATATGTATCCTCTTATGAGGAATCAGAGTCCCAATTCGTAGTTCGCAGTTGGTTGGTGTTTTTTTATAGATTACGAAGATGTTTTGAATTTCCCTTGTACTAAGTCTAGGTGTGTGAATAGCGAAGTTGTCAAACGAAGTTCGCAGTCGATTAAAATATTTTTATAATCCTTTTTAAAAATTATTTTAAATTAATTAAGTTATTAAAAGATTTGATGTTGGTTAGGTATTTTTTAAATGTATTAATATGTAAAAAAATCTTATTAATGCATGGAAAAAATAATTTAATGCAATAAAAAAATAATTATGACTTAGTAGAAAAAATATTTGAATTTTATAATAATAGTAAAATAATATTATAATTTATAAATATATTAAATTATAAAATAATAATTATAAATAATAAAATAAATTTTAAAAAAAAACTCAGGGGGTGTATTTTATGTTGAGCTAGTAAAACAAGGGGTATGGGAAGTAGGGCCCTGAATTCATATACTGAATTCCGACCCAAATGCAGGAAGGGGTGAATATTTGTTCAGGTCAATAAAAGTGGGGGATTTGGTCAGCAAGGACCCAGGTCCACATGTTGGACTTGGCCCAATAGCACTAGGGGTGTGCAATTTTCTAACGCACTAGTAAAATAAAGAACATGGGCAGAGTGATTAGTAATGGGCTAGGCCCAGTGTTTGACAAACATTTGGGAATCCGTTTGGACTTCACACGGGCGAGTGCACGGTGTTACAATGGGTGTGAGAGTCAGGAGCGTTTGATGATGATCTAAAGATTGTGATGTGAAGCACGTTGTCAGGTTCATGGACGCGCATGTACATAATTAAGGAGCGCTTATAAAAGAAATTCACCGGGCTGAGAGCCCATTTTTTTCTTCCTCTTTCTCTCTCTACAACGACAAAACCAAACCCTTTTATATTTTCTAGAGAGAGAGGCTTTTCCTTCTCTCTAGAACTCCGTCACACTGGAAATCATGCAGCCGGCGGTCACCGCTGTAGGCCACCACCAACCACCCCTTCTTCCAGTTTTCCAGTTGACATTCAACCAGAAACTTCATACATTCAACATCACCACCGTGGATCTTCATCTAGGTTCCAAGAACCCTAAGAACCCTAAGGGCTCTTGATGAACCCTAGGCAATCAAAAACCCAGAACATGCAATTTTTATGAACCCTAACTCTGATCTTCAAACAACCCCTAGAACTCTAACCCTAGGATCTAAGAACCCTAACCCTAGAAAACCCAAAATTTCCCAGAAACACAACATTCAAACATCAATCATGCAAACATTACAACAACTATTAAGATCCCTATAGCTAAGTGATTCGTGTTACCTCTCCTGCCGTGGTATTGGTCGTATAATTTTAATTTCCTGAATCCTCCTTCTAATCTCTCGCTTCTTCTTTTTGTTTGTAGGTACTAAGGTGGTGGCAGTGTAGTGGCGGTGTCTTAAGGATTAGAGCAACGCGGTTTAAAGCTCTTGGGGTTCCAGATATTGAAACACTATGTCTTTCTCATTTTTATTTAATCTCTGTCAACTCGTTCGTCTCAATTTCGTCCTCCTTTTCTTAGAATTTTTTAGGTTATATTTATAGTTTTAGGTTTTAGATAGATTAGGAATATTGTTTATGACTGTCGTTATATTTGTAATTGTATTAGAAATTAGGAAGCTTAAGATTTGTTTTGTAAAAGTTTTGATTTATGAGATTTGATCTAGTGTAACTGATTCTGTATTGAGATATTCAGACAAATTGTTATGTAAAGATATGATTAGAATTGATTTGATCTATTGTTAGTTCTGTATGCATTTCAAAATGTGTTTTTCCCTTTAGATATGTACAATACACATTTTATGGGCCTTGGGCTTGTAGTTTGATGAGGAGTAGCAGCGCTTCTGGCTGAACAATTAGGTTTTTTTTCTAATTTTGACCCAAAAGTCCACAAAAATAATTACTTCTAATAATAA